TTCTCCCTTAGGATTCTATACTTTAGGAGATAGAGTTCAGACCAAGCAGAGTCCCCTCATAATCCATCACTTTGAAAATGATGCTTCTAGTTGAGATGGCAGAAAACTGTGTAGCATGTAGAGGAAAAGTTTGGAGGAACTACACAATGATGTTAAGGAATCATTTCATGTTTAAATAGTAACAAGCAAAATTTGTGACTTAAGTAACTGATAAAGGAATCATATCCAGAGTATATAAAGAACATCTTATCAAAAATAACAAGACAGCCTATTAGGAAAATGCACAAGGAATATGAACAGGCAAGTTACCAAAGAGGAAGCATAAAAGACAAAAATGTATATATGAGATATATATTCTATCATATATATATATATACACACACATATGTATATATTGTATGTGTGTATATATATATATATATATGTATATAATTTATATATATCACTACATATATGTATATATGATAGGATGTACAAGTCACCAGAAATGTAGTCACCCCCTTATCTGTGGGGGAGATGTTCCAAGACACCTAGTGATGCCTGGAACTATTGATAGTACTGAACCCTGTATATACTATGTTTTTTCCTGCACCTATACATATTTGAAAAGAAAAATATTACAGTGACATTTATTATTGCATTGTTGTATTGGCAACAACATTGGAAATAGCCTAATTTTTTATGAAGGACAAATACATTGTATATTTTTTAAATGGAATATTACACAACATTTAAAGTAATTAGCAAAGGTTACGTGAATTGACATGGTTAAATTTCTCTAAACCAGTGTGAATTTAAAAAAAGCAGAGATACATTGTTTTAAATTTAAAAGATACACAATTTCAGATACATTGATATGAAATATAAAGTAATGGCAAATGCAGGACAGACAGTAAGCTTCATTTTTGTCACTGAAATTATACAATTGTCTTAAAATCAGCTCTGAATCCTTTTCTTGGAAAAAGTTGCCTGTATTTCTGACCTCTGTTCTCTTTTCCACTTGCAAAACAAATTTTGAATTTCAAAGAAAGTGAAGATGCTCTGACTCTCTCTGTCTCTCTCTCTCTCTAGCAATTTATTATTTCATTGGCTCACTGCCTTGACAATTAGGAGAAGATTTATAGACATATCCCCTGAATAATTGGCAATTAATTTGAGATTAGATGCCAAAAAGTACAGTATTCTTAATATAATGGGAAGGTTGAGGCTTTTCGCTTACAAATGTCACGGAACACAGAGTAAATGTTAACCGGCAGCATAGTTAACCCTGCCCTTTTGCACATCTGCAGTAAAGCGGAGTTTTAGTTCGATGATCACAAACTTTAGCTAGCTTGGCTAGTTTTAATGTAAATCTCAAGTGTAGACCAAGAGTGTCTGTGGCTTAAGAATGAATGCCTTCCCATCTATAAGCCCATGTTTTATCTTGATAGGTAACCTGCATATGATCCATAAGGGTGTGTGTACCTGGGTTCTGTATAGGAGAAACAGATACTGTATCCCGAATCTTCTTTAGGATTTTGCTTTTGACTCAAGCAGTAACTTGGATCCCATAACATCTTTTCTACTCATGGCTCAATGTCTTTCTACCGCCTGCAACTGTGGTCTCCTATGGAGAATATAAACTCTAGGTCTTAAACAACACAGATTTGGCTGGTAAACATTGGTATCCTTTTGGTCGAACTCCAGAGTACCTTCTACCTAGAGATAGAGTTGGCCGATGTGACTCCTAAATATCAGTGATTTACCAGTTGGTTTCATTTCAACTCCAGCACAGCGCCAACAATGTATTAAGTATGCACTAAATACTAACCCATTTACATATGGCCGGACAATTTTAGCACCAGTAGAGTTTTATTCCCTTCCAGAAACTCTAGAAATATCCTTTAGTCTGAATTTCCCTGTGCCTGTATTTTGTTCACAGCTATTTCTAAGTAATGGAATGGGCTTTATGCTTATGGGCATTTTGAAAAAGAGTAACAGCCCATCTTTGAACAGGTCTCAGCTCTTCCCCCTCCCTTGCCTCAGTGGTTGTCCACTCTACATTATCATGGTACCTTCTCTTTGCCAAGCAGTGTTGGCATCTCATTTAATCCTTATACCAATTTCATGACAGGGCTTCTGTTTTATCAGAGCTCTGTTTCACAGATAAGGTTCAGAGGTGAAACAGTGTGCTTGGGTTCACCAGCTAGTAAACAGTGGAGCCGGGATTTAAACCCAAGCCTTTCTGTCTTAACTATCAAGATTTAATCTATTTTCCTTTCACTTCATCTCTCTGCTGCGAAATTGAGAATTAAGCATTTAGAATAGCCTATCACATAGTCATTGGGTAATCATGTTTATTTTTTAAACTTTGAAATCAATTTCGTAATAGTGTCACATACGTACTATAAATTGTATCCAGTATACACACACACACACACACACACACACACACAGAGTTCCATAAGTTTCGATAAATATATAAACCCATATTATCACTGCCATGATCAAGATTTTCTGTACTGGCATCTACTTCAAACACTTCCTTGTGCTCCCCCCTTCAAAAACTTTTCATCTTGGGGCACCTGGGTGGCTCTGTCGGTTAAGTGTCCGACTCCTGATTTGTGCTCAGGTCATGATCTCATGGTTTGTGAGTTCGAGCCCCATGTTGGGCTCTGTGCTGACAGTGCTGAGGCTTCTTGGGATTCTCTCTCCCTCTCTGTCTTCCCTCCCCAACTCACGCAGTCTCTATCTCTCAAAATAAATGAATAAACTTACAAAAAATTTAAAAAATCTTTTTGTCTTAAAGTCATTCTAGACTCTCAGGAAATTGTAAACAGTACTACAGAGATCCCCTGTACCCTGCATCCAGGTTCCCCCCAGGGAGAACTGGTTACATAAGTATAGTACAATTGCAAAGCCAAGAAACTGACATTGGGACACTCCATAGATCTTACTCCCTTGTCCCCCTTTGCAGTCAGCCTCTGCCTACCCTCAGCCCCAGGTAACCACTCAACTGCTTTTTGTCACTAAAGTTTAGATTATTCTAAAACTTTATATGTAAGTGGAATTGTATACAATATTGCCTTTTGTGTCTAGCTGCCTTTGCTCAGCATTATGTGTTTTCCGTGTGTGAATGGTACTCTATGTGTTAGTGGTCTCTTCCCGTTAACTGTTGTGTAGCACCCTATTTGAATAGAGGGCAGCTTGCTTATCCTTTCCCCTGTTGATGGATATTTTGGTTGTTTCCACTTTTGGACTATTACATAGTGATGAAAGTTGTTGTGGAGATTCATCCGGAAGTCGTATGTGTGGGGGAGTGTGCTTGTTCATTTCTCTTGCATAAATGCAAGTGAAAGTGCTGGGTCGTTCGTTAGTGAAGGTTTAGCTTTATAAGATTCTTTTCCCAAGAGAATGAACCATTTTCTGTGCCCACCGACAGTGCCCACAAGTTCCTCTTGTTCTCCAGTCTTGCTAACACTTGATACTGACTTTTAAATTTTTGCCATTCTATGGGCGCCTGGGTAGCTTAGTCAGTTGAGACCTGACTTTGGCTCAGGTCATGGTTCCTTGGTTCGAGCCCCATGTCAGACTCTGTGCTGACAGCTCAGATTCTGGAGGCTGCTTCAGATTTTGTGTCTCCCTCTGTCTCTGCCCCTCCCCTGCTCCTACTCTATCTCTGTCTGTCTGTCTCAAAAGTAAACATTAAAAAAAATTATAAAATTAAAAAAATAAATTTTCCCATTCTAGTAGGTATGTAGTGGAATTTCACTGTGGTTTTGATTTGCCTTTTTCTGATAATGATATTAAATATCTTTTCATGTGGTTAGATGGCTAGTCATATATATTCCTCTGTAAATTGTTCAAACCTTATGACCATTTTCAGGGGCGGAATGGGGAGTGGATAGGTGGATGTGTGTCCTTTTTATTCAGCAAATATTTGATGAGTTATTGAATATTTATTAAATGACCCAGGATTGACTCGAATATATCTATTTTGATTTTGGCCACTTGAAACCTTAGGTATAATACATCTCAAATAAAATAGTTCAAATTAGGTTTTGTTAGTCTATAAAGCAATCATCTGTAATAAGGAATCTGTTGACCATGATACTAAAATAAAGATCAGTCGTTTCCCGTCTAGGTAGGACATAACATCATCTTAACTGTCAATGTCATCCTCATGATACACATTTTTGACCATGGGGAAGTTACCATCTGAAGACATGAATTTTGTAGTTCACATAGATACTGCATTGCTATTTTGTTTCTCTAAGGCTAGAAATGTTCTTACCTAATTTTTATCTTGTCTAAAAATGGAAAGACGATTTTAGCCTGGTTATTTTTAGCTGTCACTGAACCAGTCTTTCTCCATTAAGCATAAATATTAGCTAACTTGATCTACAAGCCTTCTGTTGGTCCTGTAGAGTATAATTTGTGTCTATAATTTAAAAAGAACATTTGGTTACCTTTTTTGTTTCTATGACATATTTTTATAGCCGTAATTTAACTATTGTTTTATTTTGTTAATGTAGAGAATTACAAAGAAATACACAGGCTCACTCACGTAGCTATTGCTTATACAACAATAGTGAAAAAGCACTCTGTGTCTAGTGTTTGTACAATCAATGCAGGATAATAAGGTCTGTATATCTTTGTAGACTAAAGAGTGACATCTGTATATCTGTCTATACAATGAAGACATCTTCTCCCTTACTTCCCAAGCTCATGTCCTTCTACCTAAAGGAAACTGTTGTTAAAAACTTTGTGATGATGGCTCACATCAATATAGAGTGCCTCCTTTTCTTTGTTCCTTTTTACACAAAAGGGGTCAGACAGTATGCACACCCCACATATTTTCCTTTGACACTAACACTAAGCAGATATACCTTTCTTGGAGTAGTTACCGTATGAATCAACTATGCTTTACTTAGTTGATCCCTGGTGGTCTTTTTCAGATCTTCTGCTTTGATTTTCATTTATTTGCTATTATAAAAATACCGCAATAAGCAATACTGGAGATGTTGCAGACTTTTGCAAGTATATTCATAGGGTCAGTTTCTACCAGTTGGAACCGTGGTCGAAGAACATTGTATAATTTGTCAGCTGTTGCTCCATTGTTCTCTTTAAGTTCTCAGCCATTTGCCGTCTCTTTAATAGTGTCTTCAAGGGTCTCTGGCACATATTTTAAATGTAATAGCCTAGTTTAAATTCTTTGTTATTTGAGCCTTCTAGTATTATGTGAAATGATCCCCCCAAATTAATGCTCTGTCAATGCTGTTTTATGTTTATTACATCCTTGCTTGCTTTTCTCCTGCAGAGGGAATCCTGAAGTAGGTCCTCCTAATGACCGAGAGTGGCTGGGTAGAATGGCTTCTGGTGGCATTTCTGCTGTCAACCTGCTTCATCTCTGGGAAGCCCCGTGGTTGATGTGTTTTGTCTATTTTATATATTTCTCACAGGAGGAAAACTGAACAAGGACCTGCGACATTTTCTCAATCAGCGCTTCCAGAAAGGCTCTCCTGATCATGAGCTCCAGCAGACCATAAGGGATAACCTTTACCGCCATGCTGTGCCTTGTAAGTAGCCCTTTTGGGGCATCTGACTGCTGGGTGTATGTGTGTGTGGAAAGCTAGTGGAGACAGAAGAGTTCAGCAGTTGGTTCTGGAACACTGGGCGGCTTGCTCACTTAGTGCCTCCCTAAGTCCAGGGCATCCTAAGTGACCCTGCGACATACGGCACAGCACAAGGTGAATTCCTTGGCCTTCAGGTTCTTGCCCTCCCGCTTTCTTGCTTATATGTCAAGTAAATTAGTTATCCTTTGTAGGGGCCTGTTTTCACATCAGTGGAAACGACATCTGAGTCATACGAATTCCATAAGACTGTAATGAGGAGTACCTGGGATGAAGGGTTTTGCAAAGTCCTGGCGTGGCATAGGCCTCCATGAATGCCAATCATCATTGTTACTACTGTGGTGGACCAGGCCAGAGGCCTTCAGATTGATCTCTGTGGAGATCAGGGAGCCCTCGTGGCCCCTCAGCAGAGAGAATGCCTCAGTGGACTCTCTCTGCTTCCCCAACATGACCAGATTCATTGATCTCGATTTCACGCATAATTGCATTTGAAGAAATGGCTTCCACCAATTAAAAACTCCAGTCCCCCCAACCCATTAGATTAGACCAAATCTGAGAAAGCAAGACAGAGAGCATAGGGACTATGAAAGCGAGGTTTTTGTTTTGAGGGAAGGAAGGAAGGAAGAAAAGGCAGGAGAAGAAGGAGAGAGGGAGGGAGGAAGTCAGTCCATGGGGCAGATGCTTGGGCACCTGAGTTGTAGTGAAGTATTACCGTGCACTACCCACCTGCATTCCTATATAGCTAATCATGAGGTGGCAATCCTGGGGACACTTAGAATTGCATGATTTTATTTAAAATTGAGAAGAAAGAATGATTTTGGCTTTAGTACTTGGAGTTTTTCCCTTCTGTTATTGCCAAGTCCTTCAAAGCTTGAATTTTTTTTTTTTAAATACCATTTTTTAGGGGCACTTAGGCGGCTCAGTCAGTTGAGTGTCCAACTTCGGCTCAGATCGTGATCTCATGGTTTGTGAGTTCGAGCCCCATGTCAGGCTCTGTGCTGGCAGCTCAGAGCCTGGAGCCTGCTTCAGTTTCTGTCTCCGGTTCTCTCTGTCCCTCCCCCGCTTGTGCTCTGTCTCTAAAATAAATAAACATTAAAAAATAGAAAGGAAATATTATATTTTAACCAGCAAAAAAAATGAGGAATAATTTGAAATTGAGGGTACCTAGCTTACTGCTGTGATTTGTTTGCTATAATGGTTTTCTTTAAGAAAAAAAAAAAAATAGTTTGCAAGTCGTGCCAGAATGCTAGTGTTTCCTGATACCACTGCAAAATGGTAAACAGACCTAATGTGAGGCACCATAGACCCGCAGGGACATAGGTTATAAGTCTACACTGGGACCTTTAAAGATCAGGTTCTAGAACAGCCCTCCCTGCTCCTCATTTTACTTATTAATAAAACCAAGGCTCCACAGGGAAAAGAGGTTGAGTGCAAGGAACTTGGGTCAGTGCCCCAAGGTTGTCTCTTTCTGCTGAGTAGCAGAGTTGCCTTGACAGAGAAACTGTTGTGATAATGTGTTAATGTATCTGGGCCTCCGTTCTTTTAGTCTTTCAGCGTTGGAATGGAATGCTATAATCTTGTATCCTACCAACAGTGTTTTACACTTGGATTAATAATAATTTCTAATGTTAATTGTATGGGTTATAAAGGGATCATAAATTGTTTTATGGCTCAAGAAACCAAAGCACTAAGGTAAGCCAATAAAAACAAGGCTAAAGGCAGGGGTGGGGGGGACCTGGGTGGCTCCATCAGTTGAGTGCCCGACTTTGGTTCAGGTCATGGTCTCATGGTTCGTGAGTTCAAGCCCCGCGTCTGGCTTTGTGCTCACAGCTCAGAGCCTGGAGTCTGCTGCAGATTCTGAGTCTCCCTCTCTCTCTCTGCCCCTTGCCTGCTCATACTCTGTCTTTCTCTGTCTCTGTCTCTCTGTCTCTCAAAAATAAATAAACATTAAAAAAATTAAAAACAAACAAGGCTAAAGGTGATCAGAACTTCTGGTCTCTTGAGTCCAACAGTCCAAAGTCCTGACTTTGATATGCTAACTAGTATTAACCCTCAAATAACTCTTGGAGGTTGGGATTTTTTTTTTTTT